GGAGCGGGTTAACGCGACGGGGGAAGAGCCCCGCTGCGCAGCCATGGGCTCAGCTCCCTGCCGGGTGGGAGCTGGGGCCAAAAAATAAATAAACCGGGGGCTCAGTAATGCGCGGTCCCGCCCCCCTCCCAGAACCGCCCCCCCTCCTCCACCCGAGCCCCTGCCCGTGGAGACCCCCGGGGATGGAGATCCCAGCCTCTCGGCCCCCTGCCTCCATCCCCAGGGCTGCGGACCCACCGCTTCCATCCCCACCGGGTTGTTTTTTCCCCTGCTTCTTGCCAAGCCAGCTCCCCGCCACCATGCTCCCCGCGGGGACACGTCCTCGGGTCCCAATTCAGGTTTCGGCAGCCTGGCTTTGCCGTTTCTGCCGGCTTTGTCCTTCCCCCGAGGGCTTCATCCAGCTCCTCCGCTCCCACGGAAGCAGTGTTTGTGATTTAACTTCGAGAAACGCGAAACCTTGGAGCTCCAGCTGATTCCAGCTGCTCGGCGTCACCCAGGTCGCGTCCCTTGCTGGGTTTTGCTTGCGTGCCACCGAGCCGGGCTGGCACGAAGAGAGGGCAGAGGGGCAAGGAGCGATGTTCGCGCTTGGTGACAACCCCCCCATCCCCCCAGAGCTCAGAGCAGTCAAAAGCAGAGATTGCAATGGAGTAACCTGAATTTTTAAGCAACAGGCGTATAAAGAGTGGTAGAAAGGACTCCCTGAGTAACGTGAAGTTTCGCCAAGAGGACAGGAAAAATGGTTTATTGCACCTTCTGCAGCCGGGCGAGCACCCGAGGGCTCGGAAGCAGCAGCAAAAATGCAGGGAGAAGCACGGTTGCTGCTACCTCAGGAGACCAGATAGCCATCTCCTGTCTCCCTAAGCACCTAGGTTTTGTGGGCCAACAAGAGGTGATGGCTTGCCCAAGCTGGTGAGACCTTAGAGAGCGGACTAGGAGATGCCCGGGGAGTAGAAATGTTGAGTCAGAAGAAACCACGTTTATAGAGTGAGCTTTCTTCCCGTAACCGCACTTTAATTACCAAATATTTATTAAAGGTCACGAGCATTGTTTGTATTCCCAGTTATTTTCTTGCATAAGCTGTAACAGCTCAAGTACAAGACGGTCACCATAAGATGTGTTCAAGCATTGCAAGTTATAATCAGTGTCATGCTGTTGCTAGGAAGATGCTCTTAATGACTTATTTCTAATCAATCCTAGCCGTTACAGCTCAGCTGTTAACCTCATTTAGATAACAAGAGCTCAATTCCACCTCCATCAATCCTCCTGTAAACCAGGAGGAAACGATGAGGCGAGGGCAGAACCGGACCTGAAATTTGGGGGTTTAATCGTTCTTCTGGCTTGGTGTTTGGGGAGGGCGTTCGCAGCGGGACGGTGCTGAGCAGCAACACCTGAGAGGGGCAGGCGGGTCCTGGAGGACTTGGCAGGATGGGACCTGCAGTGATTAGGAAGAGCCCCCTTAAATAGGGCTGGGTGAGAGGCCCCAGCCTGGGCACAGAGGTTACCCTCTTTTTTTTTTTTCCTGCTGCGGGCTTGAAATGCTTGGGGGGGA